AAAGAAAGAAAGAAAAGAAAATGGCCAAGAAACACATGTAATGCAGCATGTAAGAGTCTCACGTGAACAACAAAAACAAACAAAAGAGAAATTAGAAAGTCAGTCAAAGCAAGCTGAGACATTATGAAAGATTTAACTGTTTTTTGTAATGTCATAATTTAAATGTCACAACAACACCAATACTGTTTCAACTCTAAAGCAGCCAGCAAAGGGGACCGAAGACGGAAAAAATAAAATATATTAAAATATCTCCCTTTGCATTCTAGAATTCCCTTTTAAAATGAACACAAGACGTTTTATGCCACTTCTGACAAACACAAAGTGACCAAAATAAAAAAGAGCACCACCCACATTAGAGCTTACAAAAACTGCAGGAGAGAAATACAAAAAAAAAAAAAAAAAAAAAATCACAGCTCCTTCAAGTAGTTTCAAACTGCAGAGGACATTGGGACAACCTGGTGCAGATTTAATAGGCGACACGCCGCTAGCACGATGGCTAAACGATCGCAAACAATAAAAAAAATCCATGTGCTACTGCTTTTAGACAAACGCTTCGTGTCTGGTCGAGACAAACACRAATTTACAATAAAGTGAGAATATAATACTGAGCTTCAAATGCTGTGATTGTGACAGATGTGGGGGGAGGACATACTGAAGGCACGGTGGCTACTGCTGTTAGGAAAACAGTTTGTTTACAGTGCACACTGGGGGACGGGACGCTTACTGATGCAGTGTCTCACAGCGTAATACTGTGAAAGTTATTCATTCACCTTAAAAAATAGAAGGGGGGGAGTACTGCACTTTTTAAGGCAATAATAGTTTTGAAGTGTAGCAGCAACAAAGTAACAATACAAACAAAAATAAAACACTGACCATGTATGTTCAAAAACCTAATAACATCTCACTTTTTTTTGCGAACACATATAGAAACATTTCTTATTCTATACAGTGTGTGGCGGATTAACGAAAAAAGAAAAAAGAACATCAACCACCCCACATAAAAATAATCTTTTACATTTTACACAAGAGTATACCCAAGTTATACAGTACTCTTTTAAATAGCTTCCCTCTTTTTTAGTATTAAAATATATACTCATAGATTTATATAATTATTAAAACAAGTATTGTTTTTATGTCCTTGATGTAAATCCTCTGTTTTTTTTTCTTTGTGTATAAGTATGTACAGTTGAGAGTTCAAGGCATAATGTGTTGCTTTGTGGACATCAAGGTGCTCTGGGGACCAGGGACCCAACGTGGGAGAACACAGTGTGGGGGACGGAGTCTAGCAGTCTTTGGATGCCTGGATCCATAACTCGCCTTGTGTCTTGCCAAGTTCTGCCGGGCCCTGTGCCGTCTCCAGGTCCTGGAGCTCTAAAGAGTCTCTCTTACATGAAGAATATTTCGTTTTGTCACAAGTCCTTTTAGCAGCGTCAAAACAGTCCAACTCGCTGTCCGTGTCAAAACCTTCATGCATGTAGCCTTGGTACGCCGCCCCCGGTAAGGTCGGGTGCAGGGCCACCGTGACGGAGGCMGTGGCCGTAACCATGGTGACAGGTCCTCCGGCGGAGCCTGGTTGTGATGCAGAGTTGCTATGACTATAGCTGGGCCCTTTAGTCCTGTTTGGCTGAGGCCCTCTGCCGTTCTGCAGCCTGGGGCCGCTTTGAGGAGTCCTCCCAGGCAAGTGAGCTCGGTCGCTGGGTAAATGCTGCGCAGGCGGAGCCGCCAGTCTCTGCTGCTCCTGCTTGTTTCCATCCCAGCAGGTCACCTGGGAGCCGAGAGGCGATTGTGCGTTGTGAGCGGATTCACGGAGCGGCTCGACCTTCCCGCCGGACGCATTTTCTCGGAATGGCTTCACCACCTAGAACGGATAGGTTAACATTTTACTTTTATAGAACAAAAAAAAGATTTTGAGATAAAATGAAAAATTGATTTTGACGATATATGGGACGTACCGTGAGTTTGGGGAAGCTCGGGTTCTTGCTGGCCTCCAGCAGTATGTGAGATGTTGCAGGAGGAACGCCGCTGGGCGGTGCCTGGTACGCACTCCGGTCGCCGTACTTACAGTCCTCCTCTCTGATCCCCGACGTTGTTGTCAGCTCCGAGTAATACTCCGAGTCGGACGACTCCGAAAAGGCTTGGCGGCGAGGCGACTGCGCGTTGTGGTGGCCCGCGTAGTAGCCGTGGTGGGTCATGGGTGGAGGCAGCGGAGGCTCGGGGGAAGGCGTTGGCAGGCAGCTGGCGTTGTCCACGGGGGTGACTTCAGCTGGAGGGCCCGTCATGGACAGGAGGACTGGCAGCAGAACTAAGCCATTCAGCATCCCCAAAACTGTCAGAATGGCCAGCACAGCAAAGAAATACCTGAAAGATGCAACAATAACGAACATTAGTTCAGAGAAAAATACAAAAAAGCTTCTTTTGCATATTAACCGTTCAGATGTATTTATATGTAGCATTTTATTAAAGGGGAAATATCATGTACAATCAACTTTTTTGAGTTTTATATCATGTTAAAATGTTAGACTCTCATAAAAAACATGCCCAAATCCTTGCTTTGACTCATTCATGCATGTTTGAGAAATCCTGCAGCGTTTTTAGGAAGCCATGCTGAGGAGCAAAACGACAGGTGGGGACCAGAAATGCCCTTTGGTACCAGGAACGTCTCTGGGACGTGTCTTTAAGCCGAACTTCCTCATGGCAGAGCGCCCCCCTCCCCACAAGCTCTCGGGTGAGAGTGAAAATGAAACTTAACTGTCTGCTGAGCTCTCAAC